CAATTTTCGTAACCCAAGAATACTTAGCAAATTTTATATTACCTTAATTGTTAACAATTAAAAATATCATCTGTAAACTATTATTTCAATGATTGGAATGGTATAAGGACTTAAAAAATTAAAATGCGGAAATGTACGATGAATGTACCTATAACGATGTTTAATTGTTAGAAAAAGAAAATTATGACAAATTTTTCTTTTTTAATTTTCAAGTTGTTAAAAAAACACATAGACAGATGAAAAATGAGTAAATGGTAAAAAAGAAAAGATAAACGAGTTAAAAAATGATAAATGGGTAAACGGGTACTAAACGGTTACGGTTAAATGAGTACACGGTTATGGGTATGGTTAACCATTTATAAATGGTTATGGGTATGGGTATAACCGTTTAGGCAATTACCCAACAGGTAAACGGTTATACAGTATGAGAATAAACGGTTATGGATAAATAACCGTGGTTACCCGCCCGCCATAACCATTGCCCATCCCTAATCGCAGCTTCATCTCTGTCTTTGCCACTATGAAAAAACCACATATCTGAGCCCCAAACTTAATTTTGAGCCGTCTCCATCTCTATCAAAATTGCAAGGGATCTCCGACATGCAAAATGGTATGATTTTGTCACTCCCTCTCCCAAAATTTGTCACTATGTCTCTCTTCTGCAAAGATGAGAAAGGGACCTGGAGTTTTCACCATTGGCAAAAAAAAGCCAAAGTTAAGCAATTGTTTTCACTCTCTCTCTCTTTGTCTCTGCGATCTTTCTACTCTTTTTTCTTCTCTCGATTGAGCGGAATTAGCATCTAAAATGATGCATTTTGGCTTTTGTTGCAGATCTTCTGAGCAAGGACAACAGATGCGATCGAAAATTCACCGTCTCGATTGTTCAGATTGAAGTTGTTACTTTGTATTTTATTTCTCCTTGTGCATCTCATTTCTTTGTTTCATGTTCTTATAGACTTCGATATTTATGTGCATGCATCTAATATTGGCAAGGATCTGAGCACAAATCTCAGAAAACAAAGGTATAAATCTTTGTCTTTGACTTTTTTATTCAAATTGTTGTGCTTATTGAGCGACAAAACAACCCTGAGCGTCCACAGCACATATATATATATATATATATATATATATATATATATATATATATATATATATATATATATATATAAAGCATCATATACCAATTCATATACGAATTATACTTATATGCATGGCATTTACGGCATATTTTCATTTCAACACATATTTCTGGGAAAATATCAAGTATATAAATATATACTGAAAACCAAAAGCCCACTCACTGGTATGTCGAAGGGTCGTAGCCCCCGAGTCGTCCTTGAACACACTCGTCCTCGGGATAAGTCTCACCTAGATGCGAATTAACTATAAAAACGTTATTTAAAGCACATAGGCAAAACTAGCTAATAACTTCTCATACAATGCTCAATTTTGGTATTTGAATATTCCACAGTGACCTACACAACTCCACAAACATCCCCATATTTTTAGAATAATTTTTTGACCACCCACGCCCCGCCATGGGCCGGCCAAGGCCCGGCAATACGCGCCCCCATGCGCGGCCACGTGATAGGCATACTGACAGCATCAGTCAACGCCGTCAGGAATATTCCGTCAAATACTAACGGAATCTGTTAAATTTAACTCACGCCGTGGAATATTTCGTCAAACTTGACGGAATATTCCATCATCCTTAATCTTGAACCTTCAGCGACCGTCGCCGGCGCCGGAAACTGGGTAAAACTTTAAAACGCTTATTCTCCTTCGTTTCTTCACCATTTTTCATGAAACTTGAACCATTGGAAAGCTGGAGATGAGAGGAACGACGTTATACCTGTTTGAAGCCTCGAAAACCACTGAATCATGCCTGAGTAAGCTCAATAATTCCTACCAAACTTGTAGTGCTTCGATCTCAGTCCTCCGACGTCCAATTCACTCCATTTTTCTTCTCCGAGCCTCACAAGGACGTCCTAAAGCTTCCTATGTCCTTAAAATTCCCTGAAACACAAGGTTTTACGTGTGCATGAACAATGCACAAAATCAGGGTTAGGGTTTCTCGGGTTTTTCACGGTTTCAAGTCCTAAGAATAGTATAGATGTACTTAGGGGCTTGCAAGGAACGAGAATCTCACCTTTAGAACGTCGATCCGTGCATGAGTGTAAGCTTTGTTGCTTGTCCGTACGTGAGGGAAAGAGAGAGAGTCCGAGAGACGAGAGAGCACAGGAGAGAAGAAAGAGGGTGCGTGTGTTGTGTGTGAGCTCCATGTGGTCACCACCCAACCAAGAAAATAAACATCTAAGTCTCCAAAATAAGTCTCACACACACTAAAATTTCAATATCCAAGGATAAAACCGCCATTTTACATCACCGATAATAATAATTCGAGATGGGTTATGACAGTTATTCTTGTCAATTCCACTTTTGAAACGACCTAAGCGGTTAAGCGTAGTGAATTGGATGGAATAACGTTTTTCCTTTGCATTTAATTTATGTTGAAGAATACATGAATATCCATATCGGAAAGGTAACACAATTCATTATGACTTTCCTCTTCAATAATTCATTATGACTTACATTGCGTGCTGTTACTTTAATTACACCACACCAACCATATTGTGCATGTGGCAAGATGCAAGTACAGTGACAATTTTGTTGGTTTTGTGAAAAAATAGTTGTTGATGTCACTAAACTTCAACTTAATTACGATACTACCACTATTCTCAAACTTCAACTTACTGGTACTCTTATCTGCAATGGCTAATTTTTGTTAAGAAACAAGCAACTTTTTTTTATATTTTTTGTTAAAGAAGGTGCTAAATTTCTAATCTTACTTGCCCAACCATAATTTACCCAAAAATATTTTGGTGAGTTAAAATGTCTTATTTATTAATTAAAGTTAAGGAAATCACTCACACACATTTGATCGACTGATTATAAAAAAAATCTTCAAACAAAATATTACCTAATTATGATGTAAAATTTTTTTGGGTAAATTACATAAAACTACCTCAATTATTGGGTCAGTCACAGCTTCATTCCCCATCTTTAAAAATTTTCAATGTTATACCTTATCTTCGAGTTTGTTGCAATGTCATACCTTATCTTCCGTCAGTTCTTTGTCAATTCTTCTGTTTAATGCTGATATGGCTTGAGTCGGGGCCCACTTTCTATTAAAAAATTAATAAAATACTAAAATATAATAATTTACCCTTAAAAAAAACACCCAAACACCCATCTTCCCCGACCCTTTCCCCTTCCCTGCAACCCAAATCCAAAACCACTCCCACCCACGCCAACATATCCCCCCCTCCCCAGACCCACCTCCTCATTCTCTGTTGTTGCCACATCATCGTCATCCTCCTCCTATCCAACCCCCAAGCTTTCGAGCTTGGCCACCGAGCATCCGCATTGCTTCCAAAACAGCAAGACGACATGAAGAGGACAAGAATGAGGATGAGGAGGTCGAAGGGGAGTTGAAGATGTAGGAAAAGTAGGAGGTGATGAGGAAGGTCCCTGAGAAAATGAGGAGAATGAGGATGAGGAGGTCAAGGGTGGGCGACAACGAGTGCTTGCAGCAGACGGTGCAATTAGGGTTTGAGGATTTGGGTTTGGGGGTTGGATAGGAGAAGGAGGAGGAGGATGACGTGGCAGCGGCAGAGAATGAGGATGTGGGTCTGGGGGGAGATGTTGGCGTGGGTGGGATCTGGGTTTGGGGTGGTTTTGGATTTGGGTTGCAGGGAAGGGGAAGAGGTCGGGGAAAATTGGTGTTTGGGTTTTTATTTTTTATTTTTTTAAGGGTAATTATTTAGGGTTTAGGGTTTGGGGTTTAGGTTTTAGGGTTTGGCATGGGTGGAGTGGTTTTGGATTTGGGTTGCAGGGAATGGCAAGGGGTCGGGGAAGATGGATATTTGGGTGTTTATTATTTTTTTTAAGGGTAAATTATTATTTTTTTAATATTTTATTAATTTTTTAATAGAAAGTATGTAGTATCCCACATCGGCAGGGTGGGGGTTGGTCCCTGGCTTTATATGTACATGCCCCTCTCTTCCTAGCATGACGTGTTTTGGGTAGTGAGGTTCTGTTGCCCAGGAACAAATTCGTGAGGGCTTGGCTCAAAGTGGACAATATCGTGCTACGGCGGAATCAGAATGTGACAATTTGATATCAGAGCCAGACTCAGCGTCCGTTCAGATGTGTTGACGAGGACTTTGGTCTCCTTAAAGGGGTGGATTATAGTATCCCACATAAGCGGGGTGGGGGTTGGTCCCTGACCTTATATGTACATGACCCTCTTTTCCTAGCATGACGCATTTTGGGTAGTGAGGTTCTCTTGCCTAGGAACAAATTCGTGAGGGCTTGGCCCAAAGCGAACAATATCGTGCTACGACAGAGTCGAGATGTGACAAAGTGGGCCCTGCCTCAAGCCACGTCAGCATTTAACAGAGGAATTGACAAACAACTGACGGAAGGTATGACAGTGCAACAAATTCGAAGATAAGGTATGACATTGAAGTTTTTAAAGACGGGGTATGAAACTGTGACTGACCTAAAAGTTAAAGTAGTTTTATGTAATTTACCCAAAATTCTTTATTGCATAACAAATATTATAAAAAATTTACGAGATGTGAATAGTTGGTTAATTGGTTACATTGTGTTGATCGATTGGCTACTCAAATCCCCCAAAGTGTATTCAAAATAGTAGAAAACCCAATCATAGTCTTATGACATGCTCACTTATCACAAATTGGCATGTAAGGTATACATCATTTCCATTATCAAACACCCCCTCAATGCTACAGTCTAATAATGATTTTATAGTTGCATGTGAGAAACATTAAGCTATACTCCGTCAATTGGTTTCAGATCTCCCACCCTAAATATAACGTATAAAATAAAAAATTTCATTATGAAGCAAGGACAAAAGTGTAATCTGGGACATAGTATGAGGGATAAGAAGGTAAAACAAGTAATGAGGAAGATGCACAAGTGTCATCAGAACTTTTGCCGTTGAAACTGTCCCAGCAGAAGCTCGTCTGACAAGTGACAGCTCCTCCTTAAAAGAGAAATCTAAGTCCAGACTCCAGAGAGAGACGTAGAGAGGGAGAAAAATAAGAGAGAGAAGAAAGGAATCCCAACGACCGAGAGAGAGAGAGGAGAAAGGAGAGGATGATTTGGGTTGTGGGAACAACGGATACGTGATCCCGTACGCGCCCTTCCTGCGCTTGCTACTCGCTACTCTCTCTCTCTCCTATCTCTGTGGACAGAAGTATCTTTCCCACCTTCAGTCCTTTGATGACCCCAGTGTGATCCGATTCTCTCTCCTCTCTTTCTCTCTCTCTCCCCCCCTTCACATGTGGAATCATTGGCAGGCAGCATTGTTTCTGGATTACAGTCCCTTAGATATGTTGGAGAAAATGAGAATTTAGTGAAGGAGAAGGAGAAGAAGAAGCAGAAGCAGATATTTCTTCACCTTGGTATTCTCTCTCTTTCTTTCTCTACATTTCCAAAATTTGCAGGAAGATGTGTTTTTTGGAATTTCGGTTGTCATATATAGACAATTTGCGATATGGGATTTCTGTTGCTTGAATTATTTTGCAGTGGTTGGGTGTTGAATGAATGTGTTGAGTAAAAGTAATGACCTTTTGGGTTCTCTTTTTAATTACAGGAAACTAATAGTTTGATGCATTAATAGTAATACTACCTTTACTTTGAAGAAGTTTGGTTGTAAAACAACTTCCATGGCCCATGTTCGTAATTATTCACAAAACCATTTCCTAGATTTCCCCAAATACGAGAAATGAAAAAAAGAACATCATATTAACTTGTCTCACAACTTAGGGTATTGTCTCATCAAGAGTGATTAGGGATGGGCAATGGTTATGCGGACGGGTAATCGCGGTTAATTTACCCATAACCGTTTATACTCATACCCGCATAACCGTTTACTAAACGTTGGGTAATTGCTTAAACGGTTATACTCATACTCATAATTGCATACCCATTTAATCGTAACCGTTTAATACCCATTTACCCATTTATCCTTTTTAACCCGTTTATCTTTTTTTTTTTACCATTACCATTTTTTCACCCGTCTACATGTTTTTTAACAACTTAAAAATTAAAAAAAAATTGTCATAATTTTTTTTTTGACAATTAAACACCATTATAGGTACATTCATCATACATTTCCAAATTTTAATTTTTTAAGTCCTTATACCATTTCAATAATTGAAATAATAGTTTACAGATGATATTTTTAATTGTTACAAATGAAGGTAAATATAATATTTGCTAAGTATTATTGGGTTACAAAAATCATTTAGAAGACATTTCTGTCAAAGCATTTCTGTCAATTTCACGGTTACCCACAAGGAATTTAAATTAATTTGGCCAATTCCTTGATGATGAAAATCATCATTCTTGTAGTAGTGTTATTGAGAGAATGACAGATGAATTCCTTGCTAATTTATTGGGTGCTAAGTATTATTGGATCGAGAACATGGTTTGTGTTAATTTTACATATATAAAATAAATGGGTAAACGGTTACCCGTTTATAACAGTGGTTAATACCCATAACCGTTCATTTAAATTTCGCGGGTAAACGGTTATACCCATAACTGTTTATTTATCTCAACGGTCACCCATAACCGTAACCGTTTAATTTAAATGGGTGGGTAACCGCGGTTACCCATAACCAATGGATATTTGTCCATCCCTAAGAGTGATACTTTCGTAAACCTTGTGTCTTTGTGGGGAACGAATTCCACACAAGCGTAGAAGAGAATTAGACAGGTTACGACAGTTGCAATTAGGATGACAGAGGTCTCATTAATTGTTTACTCGGGTTCAATGGATGTTTATACACCCTTCCTTTTGTTTTACATTTTTAAACTTACTTGTCAATCACTGTGCAGCTGGCAATTTAGCCATTAATTGTAATTAGTGCAATCATAATTAGTTGCGTTTGGATTGATTACGGTGACATAATTTTAATTGCAATAATTAGTGTTGGTCAAACTATGGAGGAGAGGAGAGTACTGGAGAGGAGAGGACAGGGAACGATAGTTGGCGGAGAACAGATTATCGCTAGAAAAAGTCAGTTGGTGGGGGTGAGATCATAGCAAAATAGCAAGTGAGAGAGACTACAACAGATATTTTTCAAACTCTTTCCTTCAAACGGCAAAGAACAAAGTTTTGGTTGCCAGTGTAGAAACCACTTCTTATTACTTGCAATTAGTTAAACAGAGTTTTGTAGGGACTAGGCATGAAGTACGTTGTGGAAATTGGTTATAAATACTGTTATGTTCAAAGATGTAAAATCTGATTTGATGTAATTTCAGAAACAGAAAAAATGTTGATGCGGGGAGATCTTGATCTGAATTCAATGCGAGCATACACTAGTTCTCTAGACGATGTTGTGAGGAAGACTATGCTCAGCCAGGAGATTATGTTTAAAAAACAGGTATTAGGATACTCTAAATCCCAGGATAAAAGTTAGACATGGACTGAAATAATTTAGGACCACAGATCTTGTGTTTGTGTATGATTGGCTATCGTATAAAATAATTTGCATTGGGAAAACCTTGTCGTTGATTGACGTCATGTAAGGCTTGAAAAAAAAACAACATTTGTATCAATTGCACATGTGAGACTTTTACTGCTTAATTTTGGCAGATTGGAAATTTTGGGTTTACTCAAAGTAGGCTGCACTGAAGTTGCCTTACACGTGTTTAAGATACAAATGGGGGAAAATGCGAAAAAAATGGATTCCACTCCATTTAATTTTTGCTACTGATTTTCCTTCAGGTTCATGAACTCCATCATCTATATAGGATACAGAAGACACTGATGCAGAACCTTGGCAGGATGGAGTTTGGTAGATACAATCATAGCATAGCTGGTGCTGACTTCAATCTTTTACCTCGGAGAAATTATGGAAGAGACGAACATATGGTAAGTGTGGTTTTATGATAAAGGGGAGTGGAAGCAGCCACAGTTTGTGCTCCCACTCGGCCCTTGTTTGTTTCGTTGCAGTGTATGTGGTATTTTCAGACTGATAGCAGTAGGTCTAAGGCAGAATATATGGACCGAAATTTGGTCTCGCCTTTGTAACAAACTTATCAACTAATTTGGTCAAGATCTATCCTGAGGCAGAGATAAATGAAGTATCTAGTCTTTAGAGATGGGTCGATAAGTAACCTAGTTTCATTGTATATTACTTGTTATTTATGGTGTTAGTGTGGTGATTTGGTGCTTGTCTTTGAAGTTCGCTTTACACAATCTATATTTCAGGACTTGTTAGAACGGTGCAAGGGTGTAGATGATAAGATTCAGCCGAGGAATCCTGAGCTTAAACTTCACACAGATCAATGCATTAGCTATATCGGTAAGAATCTCCCCAAGGATAATAATACAAGGTATCACTTGAAAGTAACTCTGGAACTTAGGTGATCTCTTTGTTGTGATAATGTCGCAGATCCAGCGGAGCTGAAGCTTTCCCTGAGCATTCAAGAGGACAATAGGAAAGAGGGAGGTACTAAGAGGATTTGGTTTGATTTAGAAACTCATTCCTGCTCGCAACACATGATTGATTTAGAAGAACCGATTGAAAGGACATCAAATGAGGGCTTGGAACAGTCACCTTCCTTCAGCAGTACTGCTCCAATAACAAACGCCAGGGGCACAAACAATTCAGAAGTTTCTGTCCTCTTTGATCCGATCATCTCGAGTAGTGTGAAGAAAAATATATTCTTTCATGCTGCTGATTGTAACCCTCATTTAGATGGCAGTGAGTGGAATCCTTTCAATCAAGGTATGGGTTCAGTTATTCTGTGCACAACTATTTACGTGGCATTGAGTTGTTTCTGAAGGTTCAGTCTTGTGCACACTTTAGAATTTGTGTTGGTCTCTTTTTTCAGGATTAGAAAAGCGTTCTGGTGGCATTGCAATTAACAATTCATCCACCACAAGGCAGCATTTCGGTTCATATGAAACAGGGCTACTGGACCTTAACAAAATTCAGAATGATGATTCATCTTGTCTCTCAAATGATCATACAGTAGCCCATTTTTCAACAGCTAGCTCTTCACATTTACGCGGATTAGTTAGCAAGGTAGAGGAGGGCACTCATTGTTACGAAACTGGGAAAAAACTAAATAATAATGGCTCAATTGAAACTTTGGAAAGGTTTCAAAAATACAATGCTGGAAACGTCAAAGTTGATGGATCAAGCATAAGTGGAATGGGCAATGTAAGCTTGGAGGCTGCGCCTAGATCGAAGATAGACCTCCAGGAAGCAGTTGGTTTCCACAGTAATGACTCCAGTAATGGAAACAACGGGTTTGTCATAAAGCTCCTAAACAGTCGAAGTAGTTCGTGCACTTCTGCTAGACAAGTAAATTGTGAGAACAACAAAGTAGAAGACCCTGTATTTTCATATACTGATCATTGTCGAAAAGTTGATCCAGATGGACATGGCAATATTTCTTCTGCTTCATGTAAACCATGCTGCATTGGGGAAGATGATTCCAGAAGCGTAAAGACTATGCAGTCTGAAATTGAATATGGAACCTCAAATCCCTTTTCCGTTGATCAGTTTTCAGGAACACATGTAGGGTCTCAAGTTTCAGAAACCTTAATGGGTGAGCAGGACCGAAGATCTTCTGACAACAGTGAATTAAAACACAAAGACCTTGACAAGGGAGGGGATTCAGCTGAACTGAATGTTTTGATCAGAGCAGCTGAAGCACTTGTCAGAATCTCATTGGAGAGTTCATCATGTTGTCATGATTGCACTTACGAAGTAGGAGGTGCAAATAAGATGGAAACGAAGGGGAGTGAACAACCGCAGTGTTCTTCTGATTCTTATGAGTTACTCACACTAAATCTAATAGAGAGCACTGAAGATGACTATTGCGTGTCATTAAAGCCTTCTGAGGTGAATTACAATGACAGTAAGGAATTTGGGGTTAAGTTGAGAAGAGGGAGGAGAATGAAAGATTTTCAGAGGGACATTCTTCCAGGTCTGGCATCTCTTTCCAGACACGAAATTCGTGAAGATATTAACATTATGGAGACAGTTTTAAGATCAAGAGAGTACAAAAAGCTAAGAGGCAAGGTGGCTGATTATCAAAGCTGGTGTACTCCTGTCAAAAACAAACGTTCGCGACTCAACTATGTTCCGCGGAGGAAAAGAAATTTATGAGAAGCTTAAGTTGGGAAGGACAGAGACTGTGGTCTGATTCATGTACTGATCTTAGTATTAGTATTGGTAACCGGATAAGTGCTCACGCAGAAATTCAAAAATAATGATTCAGAATTTGTTATCATTTATAGTTTTTTCTCGTGCTTGATGAGCTTACAAGAGCCAAAGAAGGTTTCTAGAACGATTGCTTTCCCTATGAAGAGACAGAATTTTCTGATTCTTCAGGAGCACATTAGGCCACACAATTGACGATGTAATGAACAGATTTTGGAAGAAAAGAACTTAGATGTAGACTTATGAAACATGTTTCTGCAGCTTTTGTTCGCTTTGATTTTGCGATTGTTTTGTTTGAGCATTCAAGTTGGTAGAATTCGTAGTTGCATACTCGGCCGAAGATTTAGCCCAACCAAATGAGTTCTATGGATACAATAATTCGAAAATTTTACTATGCTCGAGTGTAGGAGATGCGTCAAAGTGATGAATGATTGAATGTACAGTCAATCCAACGAATATGTATACAAAAAAATCCCCAAAATTTGAGTATACAGAATCCTGTGAAATTAATAAACGATGCAGTAAAGTGATGAGTGGAGGCAAAGCGACTAGTTGCCACCCTTTGGGAGCAAGCATGCTTCAAGCTAGTTAATTAGTGGGAATAGATTGATGGGTAAGTCGAATAATGCTACATAAAACCAAACTCTTCACTCAAGTCATCGAATCCTTATTCGTCGTCTTCTTTGCTACATGCCCCACAATTCACAAATGCAAATTATGAGATAATAACATTGAATTCATATGCAAATTTTGAAAACAAACTTTGTAATAGTTTTCCTCCAGATACTTTTTGTTGATTAATTTTGTTTGGAATTAAGGACTGATAAAAGAGGGGAGAGAGTGTGGAAAGAATTGAAGCCTTTGTGGTTATAAGGGACGGAGAGAGTAGCGTAATGAGTTAAGATTTTAGAATAAGTTCAAACTTCGGTTTCCTCCATGTACAAATGAATTTTGATTACTTAATTTGTTTCTTGATTTTTTTATCACTTATTTTGTTTCCTTGCATACTTATGGTTATTTTTGCGTTTGAGTTGAATTAATCAAAGAAGAATCAAGCGAAAGAAATAAATAGGAGTGTGCAGATTACATATGGAAGAAAAAAAAGTGTGAAAATCATTTTCCTATTTTTTCTAGCAGCCAGATATTGAAAATGGATTAAACAACATTTTATTTTGTTAGTCAATTTTAGATTTTTAAAAGGCGATACTTTAAGCGACACTAAGTTATGATCTTATAGATGAAAAATGATTGCATTCTTTCATGTGTGAACTTACTTGTTCCCCCATTTATGATTAGCACGTCATCACTGTAAAGACGAAGTATTAGTATATACTTTTTTCAACATCCTATTGAGATTTATGATTTTTAAATAGATGAAGCATGCAATTTATTATTAAAATTTATGATTTTTAAACAGATGAAGCATGCAATTTATCATTCTTCCCTGTACTCCACTCTCTCTCTCTCAATCAATGTAAGATTTGTCAGATATTGTATTGGTTAGTGACTTAGTGGGTTGTGAAACTTAAGGCACCATTGACTATCTGGGCAGCAAGCTCTTGTTTATTTCAAAATATAACCAAAGATCTGATGAAGTGGATGATGAATATTTTATCCACTAAAGCATCACACTACATTGGGTGGTTTCTGCCACGTTGCTTTTACCCTTATCACAGAGTCACATTGATATGCCCGAATATTGAGGTTGCGATTGCATAATTTGCATGAATATTAATCTGCAATTGAATCATGGAAAGGGAATCAGGTGTCTGTCTTTCAAGGAACCCAGGAATGGATTTCACAATTCATGAGGTTGCTCAAAGCAGTTTGAAGCATGCCCATCGCCTCTTTGGTTGCATCTCTGAGAAAAAGCATAAGAGAAGTGCTCAAGAAGTAAGCCTGTTTGCTCAAGATGCAGTAAACGAATTCCGCAAACTGCTTACTCTCCTTGATGGATCAATCTTATCAAATCAGAAGAGGATCAGAAGGGGTCCACTGCCCGAATCCCATGGCATAAACCAGGTTGAACTGTTGGAATCCCATCACCCTTGCTTAGGGTTTAGACAGTTGTTTAGTAATACTCATCAGAGTGATCATGTAGCTGCAAATGTGATCCGCAGTAATGGCTTTAGCATGGGTAGAGAGCGAAAACCGAGCCTGGCATTGCAACAAGGCCACTGTGAAACCAGTGTGGTTCTTCCTAATAATTTGATCATGGGTTTGAACCAATTCTCACAGAAGCCTAGTACTTCTTTGATCAGTATGGACGGAAGTAGCATTAACACGCAGACGTGGATGATTCACTATTCTTCGTCTGAACTCTTCGCTTCTCGAGATAGCGACTCTATGTTTTCTTCTAAAAAGAAGTGTGAAGAAGCCAGTACAAGATGTTTAGCCTCTACCGGTGGATGTCATTGCTCAAAGAGAAGGTATTTCAGTCCTAATTAAAATACAATCCTATACATGACTGCTTTTTGTTGTTTTTTATACAATTTTATAATTGGTTTTTTTTGTTTGCTGTTTTCTTGTTGCTTGCTAAAGGTTACTAATCTCTTATGTTTGTTCATCCTCACAGGAAACTGAGAATAAAGAGAAGAATACGAGTTCCGGCTGTGAGCAATAAGCTAGCTGATATACCTCCTGATGACTATTCTTGGAGGAAGTATGGGCAGAAGCCTATCAAAGGGTCTCCATATCCTAGGTATTTCTATGTTATTATTTTCATTTCCATATAGATTTCGAAAAGTCTCCTAAACTGCATACAAGTTAACCACTAACCATTAAGCTGCACCGGTTTCCAATCTCAGCGTTAAGATTATTTGATGTGTATATATATGTTTAATTCTATCATGCATACGCTTCTATCATGTATGCGTGCATATCTTGTCATTGTCCTGCTAGTAAAGCATAGATTCGATGTTTTATCACCAACTAATGGTCAATTAAGTACAAAATCTGAATGTTATGCTTAACCATTGCCAAGGGTTTAGCTGATATGTCTGTCCAATCATGCTTTTGGTTTCAAAGGAGTTATTACAAATGCAGCTGTGTGCGAGGATGTCCTGCACGAAAGCATGTCGAACGATGCTTGGAGGATCCTAACATGTTGGTTGTTACATATGAAGGCAATCATCAACACCCGAGGTTTACATTTCAGGCACCCTCTGTTGCGATTTAAGTTCACCAAATGAATCAAAATAGGCCGACATTTCACAGCTTGACCTGGTTTTACATTGTAAGCTTCTCTTCTGCTCAAATCCTGAAACTGTTAAAAGTGTAACTTTGAAGTGTGATCTACTCCTCCGTCCCAATTTTTGTCTTTAATAATGTTTTTACTCAGATCAGATCATTGTACATATTTACATGTGAAAAGTTGTATTTGAATTACATCCCTTATGGTCTTATGGTTGTGAAGAAACCAAGTTAAAAATGCACCAGATTCTCAGCTTTGTTGACGCCACAATTTGGTCAGTGAAAATTGCCATGTGTGAGATGGCAAGCTGAAAATAAAGCAAAAACAAGCAGGCTAACGTTGTTGAGAGAAAGAATGAATGACGATGTAGTGCAGGTGCAGGATATGCAATGGCCTTTCCTTATTGCAAACCCTAAATGACCCAAGTGGGCTCCCAACTTTTATTTAATTAGATGGGCTCAAATTTGAAAGACCACGATGTGTGGCTGGTCGTGACCAATTGTGAGGACAAGTAGAATGCTTTTATAATTTAGGAAAACTAATAATTTTTTTTTTTTAAATCTTTACATTTTACTTAAAAATCATTCATCAACTTTATTTATTTATTTAATAATAAGAACAATATATATATATATATAACCTAACTTGTGTTGGGCGCGTCACCTCCCTCCCCCCCCCTCCACATTCCACTTTTTTCTCTCATTGTCAGCTAATTAATATATATATATATATATATATATTTTTTTTTTTTTTTGCTTAAAATACTTCAAATTGAATTACATTCTCTAGCTTTATTTTTGTGGTGTTGTTTTTCAATAGTAGTCTTCATGATGATGAAATTTTTTTCAATATGCTCGGAACACGGGATAGTACACCACTTGTCTTTATACAAGTTATGAGATTCTTGTGTTAAAAGATTAATAACATAAAAAATAAAATTTTCCACCACTTACATATTAATACATGGTATACCATTTTGTATTATGGGCACAAGGAAAAATTTCTCCAAGATGATACCCAAGCTCAAGAAATTGTATGGAGAGCTATATTTATTATTGTAGGTATGTAAAAAATGTGAGGAAATTTTAATTTGGTAATTGAAAATAGCTTTTTAAATATAATTACTAAGAACATAATCTTTGCAAGGTTTTGATCTAAAAGATCACTTTTGTGTTCATCGTTTTCTGCGCAATGGGTGCTTTTACAGAACCAAAAATGGTCTAAGTTTCAAACCTTATGAAATTGAACCAAGAATTAAACACTATTTATAAAACTTGACCAATAAGTAGACACTATTCATGAAACTAGACCAATAAGTAGAGACTATTTATGAAACTGGACCAATAAGTTGACACTATTTATAAAACTGTTGACCCTAGAAACTACCAAGCCTACGTGGCGCGCAGGCCGAGTAATCTACAGGCTAACTACGTCCTTCGATGAATGCGGGGCGTGCCAACTCGTCGACCGAGCTTGGCCAAGGAGTAAATTTGTTGGTGTTGCGTTGGGTGCGCGGCTGACTTCTACGTCTTGTGATTGCGACCGAGGAAGGAACACGTCTCGGCCTCTTGGGTTCTCGAACCTGAAGACAAGGTTACTATTCTTTACGAAGTTCACGAATCGTCGTCGTCGGACTCGGTCACAGTGATGTTATTCGTCAGAGTAAACTCTCGCCGAATCGACACCAAAGTGTAAGGGCATAAATACTCAAAACAGATATAAGTCTTGATGGTGAACGTGGTTCGGCCGTCCGAATGCCGAACTCTAAATCCTACTTGGGAGTATCCAATCATAAAACAACTCGGCGTGCAATGCGCCGAGCTCGATATACCGTAACACCTCACTTCGCCGAGAAGGCTAATGAGATGACCTCAATCAATAAGGACCCGGAAATCCTCCTCGACCGAGACTTGGATAGGTAACCAACCGTTCTCGCCGCAGTGCTGTTGATGCCAACGGAAGATGCTGCGAGATCGACTGATTCTACGGTGATAGAGCTATCTATGCCGACTTAAGATATCATCGGTTGCTTCCACAGTGCTGTTGATGCCAACGGAAGATGTGTCAGCGAAAAAGAAAGAAAAAATCTCAAGTTGTTGAGAGTTTGCGCAGGGCAGTTTTGTATTGATTTGCAGGGGGCTTGAATGATGCACAGCCTCTTCTATTTATAGCAACGGTTCCACCCAAGGTCGGGTTAAAACCCTACTCGGACTAGGTCTTCTTCTCCTGATCAGCACCAACTCGGCCAGTCCTATTTTCACTAGGATTGTGAACCTAGTCCTTAATCCAGCCGGATTCGCTTCCGGGTTATTAATCCTACCGAGACTCCCTATTGCACTAGGACTCGACTTGTCTTGTGTTGTGACCTAGCCGACCTAGGTTTAGAGGCCCACGTGCTGAACGATCCATGGCATTCTTATCGCAAGGCCTTCCGGGCCGAGAATGATTCTATACTCGGCCCAAACTATTATTTTGGGCCCAAACAAAAACGAAAACAAGAATTATGCATTATTTCCAAAACTAAACCGATAGGTGGAAACTATTTATGAAACTGGAGTAAGAATTAGACAATAGTTATAAAAACCTGACCAAGAGTTAGGCACTATTTATGAAAGTAGACCAATAACTAGACACTATTTATGAAATTGAACCAAGAAAGAGACACTATTAATGAAACTGGGCCCAATAACTAGGCATTATTTACGAAATATGACCAAGAACTAGACACTATTTATGAAAGTGGACAAAAAACTAGGCACTATTTATGAAATTTGACCAATAAATAGTATAGTACCGTTCAGTTTCATAAATAGTGTTCAGTTTCATAAACAGTGTACATGTCCCGTGTGTCAGTTTTTATTATTATTATTATTATTTTATTTTTTTATAATTGTGTCATTTTCATTAAAATTTATATTTTTTGTCATTTTTATTAAAATTTAAGGGTTTTTCATTAAAATTTAATTTTTTTTTTCATTTAATAAAGTTATAAACTCCGTCTGTGTAAGTTTATCTTACATTGCCGATCCCAAGCCCGGATAAAGGAGGAGGGGGAGGGCGTCAGGTAGTTGACAGCCAGCACTCCTAGTTTACGTCGAATCTTTATTTAATAAAGTTATAGCATGGTTTTTTGTTAAAATAAATTTAGCCCAAGCCCTTTTCATGAAAGTTCCCTTTTAATTTTGATCAAAATAGTTTTCATAAAACTATTTTCTTCTTCTATATATTTGTTTCTATATTTATTTCTGGAGTACAATGTGGAAGAATGAAACTCAAAGAACTGAGGAGGACTGTAGCAGCGGTGGAGCATGTGGTTTACTCCGATGCATAGCAAAGAACCTTAACATGATTTAACATGCCGTGAATCCTCTTAAAAGATGTTTGATATCGTATCAGAATCTTGTTTACAAGTGTTCCTGAGTTTGATCTTCATTCCCCACATCTTTATTGATTTACAAAGCTCTTGGTGAGGCTTCACTTACATGTTTGTCTCGCTCTTCTACAATATGGGCGTTTAAGCTTTTTGAGACTGGTTTCTAAAAAAAAAAATTGAGACTAGCGATTCCCTAGCATGCCCTACCAAGTAATTAGATTAACCAATATTTTACATTATATTATAATTATGTGCCTGGCTCTCAAGCTTCGGCTCAATTCGATACGGCTAATTTCCCCCACATATCCTTTGCAAACAAATCCTAAAGGCCCACCAATTTGTCTGAAGTAGTTTCTAGCCAGAAGATCTCACAGGCTTGACAGAGATATGTAAATAACATTCTGTCTTAGGCATAAGACAAACCATCATTAATTCAAGCACACCAAACACCGTGTATTGACCCTTTTTTTTTTTTTGAACAAACGATATTATCTACATTAAGAGGGAGGGATGAATTTGGCTTCACAATAAGCTCATAATGATGTGGTTCAAATTCGCCTTAACAAATTCTAATTCCAATACACACAAGCTTTTAGTTCCCTTTACTACTTATTTGGAAATATAAATGGATTGGTTCATCTCTTAACAAATCTTCAACGTATATTAGAACTTTCACTAAAAGACACTACATAGTCAATAATAGTGTCCCATTTTTCTCTAGAAGAGATATCGGAGGATGTGGGAATCAAAATTCTCCTCTTGTATCGTTAAAGTATTTCATTTTGTTTCATTATGTATCGCATCACTTCAGCTTATTCTCGAGACCTTAGGTAAAGATTGAATATGTTTAACCACCTAAGTTATAAGTCATTTTAGTGTCTCTTTAGTGTCCATTAAGTTCATCTTTATTGCCTGTTTTAGAGGAAAAAAAATTATTTTTCATTGAACATTTATAAGAAGTTCTACATAAGTAAATTTCCCTCACTCATTTTTGACTTTTCATATTTCTAATTATGGTTTTTTTTTTTTCCCTACAAGTTGCATTTGATTACACTTTCTCGACATTGGATTCTCCTTTCTGAAGGATGTATGATTTTGATGTTTCATTTCAATAGTATACATTCTTTTAGAAATGGATAAATGCTAGAAAGACCAAATTTTAAAATCAAATTACGTGTCCCAAATAATAAACAAGCATGTTAATCGACATTTCATTAACAATCTAATCATCTATAACCACATCATTTGGTTTGTAAATTTAGTTTAAAAAAATTTGATCTCCCTAGCATTACTCGAAATATATATCATTGATATTGAATCATTAAGGTCCTTTAAGAAATATGATGTTTTATTTATTTATTTTCATCAAAAGTGTGCTAGCTCGAACGCTTATTGAATGATGGGTGTAGATTGATGCATATGCATGAACGAGTGATGGCTGATGAGTGCCAGCAGCAGAAGGTGTTATATAAAGTTGGGCACCATCCTATGTTATCCATTCTCAACCATTAGTTATGCTTAATCTGCTGAAGTGGGAGGTCCAATATCATAATAATAAGCATAAGCCGCATGAAAATCCATCGAATTATGGTTGATGTAGAAATCAAGTTTGAAGGTTATTGCAGTCAATCGTTTTGCATGATTTGTCCCTTTGAAACTGCATCTGCATGCTTCCTTTTCTTCTCGAATATTATCATCAAAAGCAGAATTTATGATTACTGAGTCTTGGATAAATGTATAGATAGTTGAAACTCACATCACAAGGAATGATTCCACCTTGGGAAAAAGTGAGTAACTTGGAAAGATTGATTGATGTCG